CTGTAAAGCAGTTTTAAACATTAAATGAGAAATACTGTGAAAGCACCTTGCAAATTCCAAAGGATTATGTAAATGTATTTTGGTTGTCAATATTTAATGGGGTTATTTAAAAATATTAAGGGGGAAATTGATTCAATTCAGGCTCGTGTCCTAATTTATAGATTATTCCCCTCAATTTCTTTTTTTTTTTAGTATTACATCAATTCCACACCATTAGTCTGTGTTTATAGGTATGAAACTTTCCAAAGATACATAGCCTTACTTGTCAACATTTTTCAGTTACCTTATTCATGCCATGTAATTCATTTTAGTATATTCTTTATTTAAAAAAAAAAAGGTAAATTCCTTTTTCTTGCTCTCTGTAAATTGTACTCTATTTTAGTAAAAATAATAATAATAATAATGTTATTTGTTTGTTGGCAAAACAAAACAGCAAATAAGGAATAGACCAGTGAACCCAACTGGAAGACCTACGTCTGTTGGGCTATGTTTTGCAGCTACCCATGAACAGCTTGGAATCTTCAGAAAAGTTGTTGCAGAAACCTAGACATGCTCTGCTGGGAAAGTTGTGTGCCTCAAAGCTTGTTCCTTGGGGAACGGTGCTCCCCCACAACATGGTACAGTGGTCAATGAAATGTTGGGAAATGTTTCATACTACACAACTTCTCTTGGACTTTCAAATCCACATTCATATGTTAAAGACTCTGAGAAGTTCTGCAGTTAAGTCTGTTTAACTTTGTAACAATTTTCCATGATTCTTTATATTTTCCATGGAACATAGCTCTGGCCAGGGTAATAAGAAATGCTGCCATGAATCTTTTCAATTGACCATTTTCTGCTGATAAAGTACTAGTTTGACTATGCTGACTTTGGATACAACTGTCAGTCAAGGTCTTTTAAGGCTGTGATGATCAAAAAGATATAAACCAGGTTAGTGGTCCAAATAGTCTATGGAGAAGTGATGGTCCATGAGGACGAATAGGCTTTTCATAAATGTATTCAATTTGAAGGACTTACATTTATTCTGAATCCTTCCATTGTTTTAAATGAAATGTTGGTGATAGAAGATTTTAGTTGACTCAGCTATCAGCTTCATCGAGAGACTATAATCTCTATCATGGCAGAGACAATATGTGTGTCTGCTCACAATTGTAAGCCCAACACTCTAGTACAGAGCCTGGCTCCAAGTAGGCTTTTAATAAAATTTGTTAAATAAATAGGAATTATTCTGCTTTGTGCTCTACTTGACAAAATGTGTAGTTGACAGCCCTATATTGATCTGATTGTTTTTTTTACTGAGGTAACATTGGTTTATAACATTATGTAAATTTCAGGTGACCATCATTATATTTTGATTTCTGTGTAGACTACATCATGTTCACCACCCAAAAACTAATTACTATCCATCATTGTACACATGTGCCCTTTTATCCCTTTCACCCTCTCCCCTCTCTCCTCCTTCTCTGGTAACTACCAATTTGTTCTCTATATCTATGTGTGTGTGTGTTGTTGTTGTTTTTAATCTTCCACTTATGAGTGAAATCATACAGTATTTGACTTTGTCTGAGTTATTTCACTCAGCATAACACCCTCAAGGTCCATCCATGTTGTCACAAATGGCAAGATTCCATCCATTTTATGGCTGAGTAGTATTCCATTGTGTATATATACTACATCTTCTTATCCATGATAGTCATTTCTAAAACTCAAAAATATTGGAATCACTGGACCAGAAGAAATTCAGTTTTGCTAAAAATATGCATTGCAACAGAAGTAGTTTCTCCTGTGTAGTGTTGTCATTGGGGACATTATATTCCCAGTCCCTTTTGCATTTCAGTGAAGCCATGACACTAATTTTAATCAACAGTGGGAAAGGGGGAGTGATTTCTCTCCTTCTAGGCCAGGTCTTTCTCCAGGAGCAGGCTGCATGCAGAGGACCCCCAGGTTCTAGGGATGATGGAGCCACAAGATTTCGGGTCTCTGAATCACCTTGAGAAGGAAAGCCCATTACCAATGAACCACACACAGGAAACTATTAAGTGAGCATGAAATAAACTTTATTGTGTTAAACCACTGGTATTTTCGAATTTGTTTCAGAAACTAGTGATATCTAACACCTATATATGGATTCACACAAATATATACTTTCACAGACATATACCAGAAGCATATGCACCAAAAGGTTAAAAGTGGTATTCTCTAGGTAGTAGGATTAACAGATTTTATTTTTTTCAAAGTTACCATATTTTCTAAATTTTCTTCAGTGAATAGGCATTACTATACATTAGGTTTATAATCAGAAGGAAAAACACAAAATAAATTTTATATATATATATATATATTTTAATGATTCTCAGTTCCAAGATCTCTTCCTGTTTTGATTTGGGGATCCTTCCTCACTCCTTGGACTCTCCGAGCCCGTTGTTTGTTCTGGACCTCCAAACTGGGAATGTACCCCATCTTTAGTCAGAACTGGCAAACTGCCAGTCACCCCTCCCCTCTCTCATGGGCATCTGAGGAGTAATCACAATCCAGCTTCTCTGCCACCCCAAAACGGTGGACTATTGTCTGGGGAAGAAAGCCTGCCTGGATCACTTTACTGTAAGTGGATCCTTCGTTATTTCATTTGCAGTTGTAACTTTTTATTCTGAAATAATTTCAAACTTAAAAAGTTGCAAGAATAGTATTAAAAAAAGCTCCTATACCCTTCACCCAAAGTCCTCCATTGTTATCATTTTACCATATTTGAATTATCATTCTGTCTCTGCAGACAGATAGAGGATAAATAAACAGAATTCTCTTCTGAACGGTTTGAGAATAATTTGAATAAATTGAAGACATCTGGTAATATTCATCAAAATTCTCAAAAATTTATAAATGTTAATTCAGAATTCTCAAAAATATATAATTATTAATTCTATAATTCCACTTATAGTAACTTATAAGGCAATACTTATAAAGGTGAGAAAGTTTTAACCATAACTGTTAATCACAGCCATGTTTATCATATTGAAAAACTGGAAATGGCCTGTATGTCCAACAATAAGAGTTCAATTGAGCAAATTGTACAGTGCAGTTGCATACTGCTTCCATCTGCCCTCCTGTTGGCCACTCGTCATTGGCCTCCATAGCCATTGGGAGAAGGTTCAAAGCTCTTAATACGTCTGCCTCCACTGACTGCACTGCACAGACTGCACTGCAAGGCCAGGACTGCCTTCATCCCACCCGAGACCTCTTCAGAGAAGAGGATCACCCAAGATACCCCCAACCTCACACGGCCTTGATGAATATTGGTTCAAGCACACGTCTCTCCCACCCGCCTGCATTAACGATCAAACCAGGGACCACTGTACGCGGAGACTCCATTCTCCCTTGGGTCTCAGGAGCTCCTTCCTGACAGCCTAGGAAATAGGGATGCAACCTGATCCAGGGCAGCAATGAAACGCCTAGGCTGTTCCGGAAGGTCTGCTCAGTGGAAGGGCAAACTGAGAATATAATCAGAAACCTGCCAAACTTGAACAGATAACCTATCCTAATTTCAAATAAAGAGTCAATTTCTCAAAATTACACATTCATGAGAATTCCTAGGAGAAGAAGAGTGTCAGCGTTCCTCTTCGTAACATCAACTGGAAAAATAGATGCCCCCGGCTACAAAAATGCGAGCTTCCAAAGGCTGCGTATCCTTTTCTAGCTGCTACACTGGTAAGGTTTCTTCCTTACCAAGAACGATGAAAATAAATATAATATTACATAATCCCCCCCCGAAAATCATTCTACTTTGACATCTCAGATTCAGAAATTCTGAAGTAAAAATAAACAAGAACTTTCAAATAGGGAGTGTTGGGATTATCATCTTTCTTATACAAATATTTGGACGGAAAATCACAGAATCTGATATAGCACTTACGAAATGAGAAGCAGTAAAATTAACTATAAAATATGCCTCATAAATATTAGAAACATTTCGTTAAATGGACAGATCCTGAGAATCAAGAATGAAACACTCCAAAACACAATATTTATTTAAAGGACAATGTCGTTTGTGGTGAAGACATTGTTTGCTGGGGAGAAAGGGCTTAAAAATGGGATAGAAAAATGCAACATTCTCAATTGATTTGGCTGGAAACATCAGTCCTGAATCACTTGCTTCCCTCGCAGACTGTACAAGATACCACACAAAAATTTAACTTTATTTAGTTTATTAATAGGATCCAAACAGATTTAGCCTAAGAAATGAGGAAAGAACACAAAAGATTTGGCTGAACTATACAAAAAGAACCAAAAAAGTGACGAGATTCTCAATTGGTGACAATTATGGACAGTTAGTTTATTAACTAATACAAAAATAAATCTACAATAGCAACTGTGACTCAGATCGAGCCAGTACGCAGCGTGTGTCAGTGAGGTACTCACCGCACGGACCTCACGCCCTCCTCGGCCGGCTCACACTGTCTGCCCTCTGACCTGGAACCTCATAAAGGACCCCTCACTGCCCGGAGTACGCAGCCAGCTACATTTTCTCCTAAGCCCACAATCAGTTAGATGCCATTTCTATGTTTCCCGTGGCTTCTTTCTTTTCAGACAGTGACAGAGCTCAAGAAAAACTCAACTGGCCAGTGCTGAGCAGGGAAGGAAAAGAGTATCTTGAGATGGGTTTGGGGTAGTTTGGGGGTACCAGTAGACTCTGATAAACGAGGAGACTCGAATGGGCATCATCCAAAAGGGGCCCATGGTAACTCACAGGAAGGATGGAACAGATAACAGAGAGATGGGAAGGACCATGTGACACGAAGGAAGTCGCACCCACGGGACAACGACAGGAAGAAAACCGGAATGGAGAACGCCTCCTGGCTTATATTTTTAAGACGAAAGCATTTTTAAAAATGAATATAGAAGCCAAATCAAAAATTAGAAAGTAAAATAGCAACAATGAGTATTTAAATAAAATGGAATATGGAAGGAAATAAAGAATTCTTTTACTTCCACTTGGTCCAATTTTTAAAAAGGTTATACGACGTCAGGCCAGTTTGCTTTACGGGCCATCGACACATCGTATCAGACATTTCTGAGGAAAAGGAGAAGCCGATGGACACCCCTCAGGGAGCCTGGGGAGGAGGAGGCGGGGAGGACTGGAATGTGTGAAAGGAAGCAAGCTCTTCACACTCTCTCTTCGTGACCCAAGTGTCTTCCACCTGCGCGTTAAGTGACAGGTTCGGATCACAGAAACGTCGTCACCAGCGCAACAGAATTACGACCACAGGTGCCAGCTGCCTGGTGTGCTGCCGAGCACCATCAAGGCCACGAGGAGCGTGCGAGGGACATCTCTGTGCAGCGAAGAGGAGGGAGAGGTGCCACACACCAGAGGCTCGGCTTTATAGGGTCTTGCTATGTCTGGAGGTAACGCTGTCATCCCTTGAATCTGAAAATAGAAGAGCAGACAAGGCCAATGAGCATGTGCTTCAGAGCAGGACTGCGGCCAAGCCTGCTCAGCCCTGCACTGCTGCAGGGATCAAAGGGGAGCGGGGGGGCTGCTGAGGTCAAAGGTCAGGACTCAGAACCTCAGGGATTCCCAGGGGGGTGGAGAAGACGGCCAGACATGTCTTTGGGAAAGAGGAGATAGAGGCAGGCTCTGGTGCTTTCTGGAGCTCTCATCTCCTCCTATTCCTGCTTCATCCCAACTGTAGTTTTAGAATAAATTTGAGTGGAATCAGGAGTTCTCAGTCAACCCAGGGAATCGCTGAGCAAATAAATCATCAGACACATCAAAAGACAAGCGGGCTGTTGGATGTGTGGATACTGGTCTGTTCCTTAGAGTTCACCTGTTGTGGGTGCAGGTGAAAGGTGACATCTGGTTTCCCAGAAGATTAAAACAAAGTAGGGCTTACCGACCACTCTGCGTTGTCTGTCTTGGAGCATCTCACATTCACGGGCAGGCTAAGGACAAGCTTATTGAAGGAGAGACCTTCCTCCTTAGTCCATTTAAACTTATTCATTGCATCCATGAAAGAAAGATTTTTATACTGCTTAGGGCTTTTGATAATGAAAGGCCAGGTCCTGAATTTAAAATAAAAAACCACAATTAGTCATATTCAGAACAAAAGCACCACGTTTCCATTACTTTTCAACCTCCTAAAATAGACCTCATACTTGTCCATTTTTACACACATAGATAACCTAATGCAAAGCATTGTTGAACTCATCAGCAGTTACTAAAAGAAATATATGCCAAATAAGGAGTCTTTGTAAAAAAATGAAATTCCTGGGGCCGGCCCGGTGGCGCAAGCAGTTAAGTGCGTGCGCTCCGCTGCGGCGGCCCGGGGTTCGCGGGTTTGGATCCCATGCACGGCTGGATGCACCGCTTGTCAAGCCATGCTGTGGCGGCGTCCCATATAAAGCAGAGGAAGATAGGTACGGATGTTAGCCCAGGGCCATCTTCCTCAACAAAAAAGAGGAGGATTGGCATCGGATGTTAGCTCAGGGCTGATCTTCCTCACAAAAAAAAAAAAAAAAGAAAAGAAAAGAAATTCCTTGTTTTAGTAGCAGATGCGTATCACTTTCAGACAAATAATTTTGGCTCAGAAAGCTTCCCCAGAGCCTCACAGTTCCTCACTTGTTTGTTTTGGCTCCAGTTACAACGTCACTGGTAAGCACGCGGTTCTGAAGGGCATAATGCTAGCAAAGTAATAAAGCAACGTGTATGTTCTTACAAGGTCCTGCGCAGAAATGGAAACTTCAATTCCATGCAGTTGAAAAGCCTGACCCCCTGTGGGCTGCCCTGTTTTATACGTCCCTTGGCTAAGTGACAATGAATACAAAAAAACTGAAATTGAACCACTATTTTTAAAATCGTACTGAGAAAAAACACTCTGTAGAAGATACATTCTGCTTCCACTTGTGGCTCGAAAAATACACATGTTAAATGTCCAAGAAATACAGAAGAAATCACAGAAGAATGGCACGACTAGCTGGAAAAGACACTCTTCAGGTGACGCTTTTCATTAAATATGCTTTATATTATTGATTCCCGAAAAAAGGAAAATATAATAGTTGTCATATCACAAAAATTTGCATAAACTAATTCCTGGACCTTCCAGGAGATTATTATGGGTGCACGGTAGGTATTTGGCTCCCTGACAACTCAAGAAGAGACTTTAGTGATTTTCAATAATTACCAACTAATTAACCTCCAGCCAAAGAATCTACATTTTCAGTATTTGATCTTCACAATTTCATCATTTATTTATGTCATTGCTCATTCTCTTTCTTACACACATAACCTACTCAGGCACATAGAATGTTATCTTTTTAACTAAATTAAACATCCTTTATTAATTATTTTTAGAGTTACGAAGATAAATTTTCAATGCCTAAATTAAAATTATTTCCTCCATACTCTAATAAATGAAACAATGAGTAGAACAATGGGTAATATATAAGGATCTTTCTACTCTTCCTCCTACCTTCCTTTTTCCTTTAATTAAAGTCACATCTGCTTTGAGTTTTAAACGCATTATTTTTATAGAAAACTTAAAGTTAAGTACCCTTTATAAAGAAAGAGCAATCAGCATCACACTCCGTTAAACATATCTAGGAATGACCTAAAACCGACAGCATTTTAAAATTAAGCATGCCGTGAAGACTTGTAGAGAGACAGTCCAGAATTAGTATAAAACAAAAACCTGGCTTGAAAAGAGCCTATTATATTTACAGACAATGCCTTTTTAAATACACTAAAAGCTACAGCTAGATTTTATTAAATATAAAATACTTTTAAATCAAATATTAAAAATAAAATTTACTTTTCAAAAAGATAAGGTGTCTGTCTTGAAAAAAGAAAATCAACTTTATAACCAGGGAAATGCTGGGGGAAACCATCAGGCTGTAACCATCTAAAACGCCACTAGGTGGCGCTGAAATCTCTACTAAGGCTGTGAGGTGGCTTAAATCCTCTGAATTTTCTGCAGCCTTGCTGGTAAGAGTGAGTAGGGTAATACTGTACACAGACGAAATCTTTTTTTTTTTTTTTGTGAGGAAGATCGGCCCTGAGCTAACATCCGTGCTAATCCTCTTTTTGCTGAGGAAGACCGGCTCTGAGCTAACATCTATTGCCAATCCTCCTCCTTTTATATCCCCAAAGCCCCACTAGATAGTTGTATGTCATAGTTGCACATCCTCCTAGTTGCTATATGTGGGACTAGGCTTCAGCGTGGCCAGAGAAGCAGTGTGTCAGTGCGCGCTCGGGGTTCCGAACCCGGGATCCAAACTCAGGCTGCCAGTAGCAGAGCGCACGCACTTAACCGCTAAGCCACGGGGCCGGCCCCACAGACGAAATCTTAAAAAGCTTTGCTGCTAGAATAAATCAGTAAACTAGTATTTATTGAGATTGCACAGCATAAAGTGACAGAAGAGGTGTAAACACATTTGTTAACTTACTATAAATATGTGGGAAAAGGATAGAGAAAAGGGCAAACCCAAAGGTTGACATGTTGGAGACAGCAGGACGGAGGCTGGGTGAACAGGAGATGTGCTCAGCCATCTCTCTGAGGTGCATCACTGTCTCATATTTTTTATCTCCTTTCCATTCCCACTAACTTTGTTCAGACTCCCACTGTGTAATAACATCACACCAACAAACTTCCTGTGTGTCATCTCTAACCTTTCTAGCCTATCCTGCACTGGGATCACCCCTGGAGAAAAGAAAAGAAAAAGACAGAAAGAGGAGAAATCCTGAAAAAGTTAGTATTTATCCTGAGTATTTTTCCTTAAAAGACTAAGCTTTAAACCAGAAACAGGTAACCTTGAAGTAGCAAGTTCTTCTACTATCAGGGGCTGGGATTTAGGAATATTAGGAATTTTCTAGAAATTAAAACAGTTACCTTTCTGCACATCTGGGCAGAGTGTAAATGTCTACTCAGATATACACATAAATAAAAGGGTATTACTTATACATCACTGTAGTCGATCAAAATAAATCACATTAATATGATTTAATATTGATGAGTAATTTTCCTTTGTAAGTTTAATCTAATTGACAAGTTGATTTAAAAATACACTCAAGGGGGCCAGCCCCGGGGCTTAGCGGTTAGGTGCTCGAGATCCGCTACTGGCGGCCCAGGTTCGGATCCCGGGCACGCACCGACGCACTGCTACTCCGGCCATCCTGAGGCCGCGTCCCACATACAGCAACTAGAAGGATGTGCAACTATGACACACAACTATCTACTGGGGCTTTGCGGAAAAAAAGGAGTAGGATTGGCAATAGATGTTAGCTCAGAGCCGGTCTTCCTCAGCAAAAAGAGGAGGATTAGCATGGATGTTAGCTCAGGGCTGATCTTCCTCATAAAAAAAAAAAAAAAACACTCAAAAATGGAATAAACTTAGACTATGAAAAACAATTTTGGGAAAAGAAAAAAATGACAAAGTTTGGGGACTTACATGCTCTTATTTCAAGACTTACTATAAAACTATAATAATTGAGTGTGGTATTATAGTAAGGCTAAATATGTACAGTAATGAAACAGAATACAGAGTCCAGGAATAGTCAACATATGGTCAAATGATTTTTCAACAAACATTCCAGGGTAATTCAATAGGAAAGGGTAGTTTTTTTCATCAAATGGTTCTTGAACAACTTGATATCCGAAGGAAAACAATGAACCTCACTATTTACCTCATACCACACACAAAAATTTATTCAAAATGGACCATCAATCTAAATCTAAAGGTTAAAACTGTAAAAATGTTAGGGGGGAAAAAATACAGGAGTAAATGTTCACAACCTTGGGTAGGAGGGCAAAGATTTCTTACATGGGATCTCAAAAGCACAAAACAAACCAAAAATGATAAAATGGACTTCAAAAAAATACAGTTAAAAAAATGAAAATCAAGCCAAAAATTGGGAAAAATTATTTGCAAACATATATCTGACGAAGGACTTATATCCAAAGTTTAAAGAACTCTCAAAAATTATAAAGAACTCTTACAACTCAATTATGAAAACAAGTAACCCAATTAAACAATGGACAAAAATTGAACAGGCAATTAAAAAGGAACATACATGAATGACTAATAAGTATGTGAAAAATGGCTCAACATCATTAGTCATAAGGGAAATGGGAAATAAAGCTACAATAAGATACTACCACATACACATGAAAATAGATAAAATTTAAATATTAAAAATCAAAACATTGGGAAGAATGTTAAGCAATAGGAACTCTTATATGTTACTGGTGAGAATGTGAAAAGGTACACGGTTTGGAAGAACATTTTGAGAGTCTTATGAAGTAAACATCAACTTAGTATACAATCCAGTGATTCCACCTCTAGGTATTAACCTAGAAATTGAAAACATGTGTCCACACAAAGACTAACACAATAGTGTTCATAGCAGCTTTCTTCAAAATAGTCAGGAACTAGAAACAATCCAAATGTCTTTCAGCTGGTGAATCGATGAACGATTTTGGGTGTATCCACCCAAGGGAATACTACTCAGCAATAAAAAGGAATGGGCTGCTGCTACACACACCAGCAAAGATGAATCTCAGGAACATTCTCACTCAAAGAAGCCAGGCACAAAAGAGTACATGCTATATGATCCCATTTTTATAAAATCTAGAAAAGACCAAACCAAGATAAGGACATAGAGCAGCTTCACAGTTTCCTGGGCCTTTGTGTGGGAGGTGGGATTGTCTCCAGATAGGCACAAGAGAACTTTTGGGGGGGATAGAAATGTTCTATATCTCGATTTTGATGGGGTTAAATAGGTGTACACATCTGAGAAAACAATAGGTGCATTTTATTGTATGTAAATTCTACCTCAAGCAACTTGACTTTGAAAAATAATAAAACAGAAATAAAAATATATCAACAAGCTGACAAAAAAAGACACAATCTAATACCATAAACTTTACAATCTAATTGTTAAAGAAGGAAACCAGGGAGCTGGCCTGATGACGTAGTGGTTAAGTTTGCACGCTCCGCTTCAGCTGCCCAGGGCTTGCAGGTTCAGATCCTGGGCGTGGACCTACACATTGCTCATCAAGCCATGCTGT